CTTCCGGACTCTTCTGGTACTGTCTAGGACAATCCGTACTACTCCAGAACGGTCTAGACAGGTCTATGCCTTACTCATCTCTTACTCATCCTATGGTGCGATACGTCGCAATTCTTTCGTCATTGTATTATTCATCGCACTATGGTACATGTGACTAACCACTCTTCGATTAGTCATGGACACTTCACTGTAGTATATAAGGACTTCAGATTGCGTCCTCCCTCTTCAGTCTTTCCTTACTGACTGAAGAGTGAGTACTTCGTTACATCTATCTCTAACTTGTAGTTACTTACTTGACCTTTGTAGTCTTGCTTCGACTCTAGGTACAGTTCGTTGCTGCAATATAGTCTTTCCTTACTGACTGAAGATCTTGCTTCGACTCTAGTCGGATCTAATCCTTGTCTTCACAGCCCCGAGTTTATCAGCGCCTTGCACCCGGAGCACCGAGACCAGCGAGGACCCCCAGCAGCCTCCCACTTACCGCATTTCGCACACGCGTACGCAAGCTCCGTCTCCGGCACGTCGACTTTAACAACTGCTATGACGCCTCCAAAGGGGCTATTGGTAACCCGCCAAACCAGCGTCACAGGGGACCGCCCTTCGCTATCCTTGAGCGTCTGGAGCGCACTGAGAGCTTCTTCGCCCATCGGCCCTCCGATAGAGAAAAGAGGTCTACCCGTGTCTGGGTCAGTGGCTCCGACGGTGGTTGGATCGGACGTGACAAGGTTGAGGCAGAGGTCGGCGCGCTTCATGCGGATCCCGTATGGCCGTGAAAAGACGAGGAACTAGGACGAGGTTTCGTCCGATTACATACGTCCCGTGCTTCTCTGGGGACGTAAAGACACACAGGTTTGGCTTAGCCGATGTATTTGCCATGTCGATGGTGATCGTTCGGGGTCTTTTATTATTATTATTATTATTTTCTTGTCTTATACCAAACATAGCTACAGGGTACGGTAGGTATGTAAGTAAGCGTGTTATCCGAGATTGTTTGACATTTCCACCCAGCGCGTCACTTAAGACTTGCACCAGCGTGCTCGGACCACGACCGAAGTCAGCGTGTGGAGTAAGGACCCGCACCTACCCACTCACACCATATCTGCCAACGGCGACCCGGAGTCGCCGTCCCCATCCGTAACAAGAGTGGTCGCCGTCGAGGAGGAGGACGACGACGAGGGGGGGGGGAAGTGGAATTGTCGCCAAACTAT